GGTGGAGTTGTGGTAGTTCTGGGCTCTCCCTGAAGAGAGGTGGGATCTCTCAGATCCTTCCTCTCCCATCCCTTATTCATGGGCACTCAAGCTTGCTAGAGTAGTGGCATTTGGCTGAGAACCTGACCTTGTTCTGAGGGCTATCTCTTAGGAGACCGTACCTCCTGGATAAGGGCTGGCATAGGGTATTATGAGAAGGCTTTTCATTCTGACACCTGTCTTAAGAAGACAGGGCTTTGCTATGCCAAATCAACATTTCTTCATCTTTAGCACCTTCAGAAAAGAATGTGCTTCAGTATGAACCCTGCATACCACCCCAGTGGCTCCCGTGTTTGGTCCTGGTTGTGTTTCTGTGTGTCACTTTCCTTGGTGTCCTCATTACTAAGTGTCCATGGGCTGATTATCTGGAGAGGGGTGGGGAGGGGAACAGTGTTTGGGAGCATACCTGAAGGCGGCAGCTGAGATTGCCAGGAGCTGAACTGGGAATCTCTGAGGCACATCTCTGTAAGCGGGGAAAGTCGGGCAGGGATTCTTGGGGCTTGAGGGTCCCAATCCTGCACAAGAATTCCCAGGGCATTGATCAGGTCCCTCAAGCCCTGTCAGCAATAGTCCTGGGGCAATTGGATATCATGGGCAGCTCCAGGCTGCCTGCACTCTTGTGCCATTAAGCTAACAGCAAAGCAGCAGAAACTATTATGGCCTTTTGTCTGGGCCACAGTTTGGTCATGCATGGCATGAAAAATGGTAGAGATACCTGTTTGTTTTCCCTTTGTGCTACCATAAAAATTGCTATTGTGGTAGAAAGGTGACCTCTGTTTACACCCTAAGTCCTACTGCAAACAGTGTGTCCAGGAAATGTAGTATTCTAAGAAACAAGAGACAGACTCTCCCCATGCCTGAAGTAGGGTGTTTGGGCCTGGAAGCTTGCAAAGAACATTTTTTCCAAATATTTAGTTGGTCTAATAAAAAATATCACATCTACACAAAGAACCTTGTCTGCCAAGAGACAAGAGACATAGTTAACCTTGTTAGTCTGAAGTCAGGCAGAAAGCACATTAGAAATGCACCTCACACTTTAACTGAATCAGTTAATATATCAGGAGCATTTCTACTCTGCCTTCTGCTGTTCCAAGTTACAGTCTCGGGGCTGGATCCAGGGGGATGCAGTGGTGCAGCTGTGCCCAGCTCCATCTTGATTCCTGCTCCACCCAATGTTTAAACCCAGCTGCCTGGTTTCTATTCAGGCAGTGTTGAGGAAGCCAGTTGACTTCATAGCTCATTAAAATGTACCTGTTTCCTACTCATTTCAATCCACAGTTATTAAAAAACCTCTCTCCTTTTTAATGCTGTTCTATAGGTTCTGAGAATCCTTGGACCGTGTTTCCTCATGTGTTATGGGACCATGAGTTACCTTTTCTACCTAGTTGAACTTTTGTGGGAGGAGATATTTTCTCCCCAATTAATTTTATGGGTCATAGAATCATAGAATCATATCATAGTATCATAGAAGTAGGGTCAGAAGGGACCTTGCAGATCTTCAGGTCCAACCCCCTGCCTGGGCAGGAAGAAAACTGAACTAAAATGACTCCAGCCAAGTAGGCATCAAGCCGCTTCTTAAAGACCCCCAGGGTAGGATCCAGCACCACTTCCCTTGGAAGTTGGTTCCAGATCCTAGTCGCCCTAACTGGGAAGTAGTTCTTACGGATGTCTAATCTAAACCTACTCTCCAACAACTTGTGACCATTATTCCTTGTTATCCCAGGGGGTGCTAGGGGAAACAAGGTCTCCCCCAAACCCTTCTGGTCCCCCTTAGTGAGTTTATAGATGGTCACCAGGTCCCCCCTCAGCCTTCTCTTATGAAGGCTGAACAGGTTCAGGTCCCGTAACCTCTCGTTGTAGGGTCTGCCCTGCTGTCCCCGGATCATGCAGGTGGGTCCTCTGGACCCTCTCAACGTTGTCCACATCCCTCTTGAAGTGGGGTGCCCAGAACTGGACACAGTACTCCAGCTGTGGCCTGACCAGTGTCGCGTAGAGAGGGAGGATCACCTCCTTGGCCCTACTTGAGATGCACCTGTGGATACATGATAGGGTCTGGTTAGCCCTGCCGACCGTGACCTCGCATTGTCGGCCCGTGTTCATCTTGGGCAACCTATCCAGGTCTTTCTGCAGTCTCTCCCTCCCTGCTAACGTGCCCACCTCTCCCCATATTTTGGTATCATCAGCAAATTTGAACAGGTTGCTTTTCACCCTGTCGTCCACATCGCTGTTAAAGAAATTGAACAGCGCGGGCCCAAGGACTGAGCCCTGGGGGACTCCACTTCCCACCAGGTCAAATATGACCCGTCCACCACCACCCTCTGCGTATGACCCTTCAGCCAATTCACAATCCATCTGATTGTGTAGGCATCAATGCCACAGTCACCTAGTTTTTTAATGAGGATGGGGTGGGAGACAGTGTCAAAGGCCTTGTTGAAGTCCGGAAAGACTACATCCACGGTGACACCTGCATCCAATGCTTTTGTGACCTGATCGTAAAAGCCAATCAGGTTGGTCTGACATGACCTGCCCTTAATGAAACCATGCTGGTTGCCCTTGAGCATCATCCCCGATGCCGGCCCATCACAGATGTGCTCCTTAATGATCTTCTCAAAGAGTTTCCCCAGGATTGAGGTAAGACTGACGGGCTTATAGTTGCCCGGGTCCTCCCTCCTCCCTTTTTTAAAGATGGGGACCACATTGGCTATCTTCCAATCATTTGGCACCTGGCCCAAGCACCACGAGCGCTCATAAAGCCGTGGCAAGGGCCCTGCAATAACCCCTGCTAGCTCCCTCAACACCCTGCAGTGGAGAGCATCTGGGCCTGCTGATTTGAACACGTCCAGCCCCTCCAGTAGCACTCTAACCCGGTCCTCCTCAACCTTAGGTCTTGAGGCATTCCCCTCAAGTCCATCTTGAATCACGGTGGGGGAGTCCCTGTCCCTGCACAAGAAAACAGAGGTGAAGAATTTGTTAAAGATGTCTGCCTTCTCCTCTGGCACAACCACCAGATTGCCCAGCGTATCTTGCAGGGGCCCCACATTTCCTGGGGCCTTCTTCATCCTCCCTATACCATTGTGAATAAAAGTTTTCTTTTTACTATAAATTTAATATAATATCCCCTGCTTACAGGCCAATTCATAGAATCTTTGAAAAACAGAGTTGGAGGGACCTCTAGAGGTCATTTAGTCCAACCCCTTCTCAAAACAGGACCAGCCCCAACTAAACATCCCAGCCAAGGCTTTGTCTTTCCAGGTCTTAAAAACCTCTAAAGATATAGATACTGAAATCTCCCTGGGTAGCTTGTTTCAGTGCTTTATTACCCTCCTTGTGAAAAGGTTTTTCTTAATATCCAACTTAAACTCCCCATTGTGCAGCAAGACCATTTCTTTGTTCTGTTATCTACCATCCCTGAGAACAGTCTAGCTCCATCCTCTTTCTAGCCACCTTTCAGGTAGTTGGAGACTATTATTAACCCCCTTAGTCTTCTCTTCTCTAGACTAAATAAGCCCAGTTCCCCCAGCTTCTCCCTGTAAATCAGGTTCCCCAGCTCTCTTACCATTTTTGTTGCCCTCTGCTGGACTCTCCAATTTGTCTACACCCTTTCTGTAGTGGGGGGTCCAACACAAGACTCCAGATATGGCCTCACCAGTGCCAAAAAGAAGGAAATAATCACTTTTCTTGGTTTTCTGGCAATACTCTTACTAATGCAGCCCAGTGTGCCATTAGCCTTCTTTACAAGAACAGCACACCGTGGCTTATATTCATCTTATTGTCCTGTGTAATCCTCAGGTAGCAATAGCTTTCTCTTTTTTAGACTCTAATAAGATCGTGCAATAAGGCTAGGTTTCCTGACTCATGGCAATCAGGTGAACAGCAGTGTTTGGTTAATCACGCAGGGATCTTCATTAAAGTGACCAGTTCTGCACAATCAATACCTTAAGGAGGATGTAGTTAGAACTGTGGATCACTACCAAGGACTCCGTGTGTCTATGCCTCTAGAACAAGGAGCAAACAAAAACCAAAAAAGACACCAAAGGGCAGAATAAAACTACCAACATACAGGAAGAGCATGCAGCAGTGCCAGGGTCAGGGTTGCACCCTGTCTGCAGGGTCTTGCTCTTCTTTTCTCCCAGTTTAAGGCAGAATGTGAATAGGGCAAGAGGGGGCAATAGGTTTGTCCCCTCACCCCGCAGTTGCAGAATTTGTCCTAGTCCCATGGAACAACTCCAGGTCCCTCTCCTGCGCTACCACTACATGGTACTGCCAGGGGGGCTGGCAAAGCAGGGGCTGGTGATATCCTGATGCCTGATTTCAGGGATTGCAGAACACCTGTGCGTGAGGGCACATGTGCTCAGGCTGGTACCTGGCCCTGCACAGCAGCCCTCTCTGGTGTCAGCAGAAACCCTGCACAATCCATAAAATGGGCCTGCAGGCACTCAGACCTGCCCATCCACAATTCCCTGTGGGGTGTCTGAGTGCTGCCATTTTACTTTTTCACAAACCCTGGGTAACTGAGAACTCCAATTACTCTATCAACTTGTCCTTTGTATGCCTCTGTCATTTGTTCATAGAACTCCCCACTCTTCTCCCCACTGATAAGGGGAGTCTGTAGCATGCCTTACCCAGACATCATTTCTGCTTGTATTCTGTTTCATCAAGAATGCTGCTTGTTGTGAAGCTTCTCAATAATTCTTAAGCTAAGGATGTTGGGGGGAGGGGGAAGAGATAAGTTCTTTCCCACCTTGTCCCATTTCCTTCCTTTGTGTTTATTTTTTGCACCAGAGTACAAAAATGAGGCCTCTATTACTTTCACTTCAAGGAAATGAGAGTCCAATCAGAATCAAGCTAAAAAAAGAGCTGGTGAAAATTCCCTTCCCCTCCCATCCCTATGTGGTGGCTCCAGGCACTGGCTCTTCCCCTAAGCTATCAGCCTCAAACAGGCTCCACTCCAGCCCCAGCTCTCCAGAGTGATGTGCAATAGGACCTCCAGGTTCTACTGCCTGTGTGTGTGTGTGTGTGTGTGTGCGTGTGTGTAATCAGAGGTCACTGGACCAGAAAGTGAGGTCCTGGCAGAAGAGATGAGCACAGAGGGAAGACCCAACCCTGGAGGTGAGATGGTCACTGGGCTTTCCTCTCTGGTACTCTGAGGGGAGTGGGTGGAATTGAGGGGCTTGAGAAAGCAAAGAAGAGGAGGCAATGAAGAAGGATAGAGCAGGCATAGAGTCTGAGAACAAACAGTAGATGGAGACGATGGAAGAGAACCACAGAGAAAAGGGGACCAAGGAGAGATGAGGCTGGGCAGAGTGGGCCGTGAGAAAATGGGGAGGGAGAATGAAATGTGAGAAGGAGATGCAGTGACTCACTGTCCTCTGCAGTGACACAGATATAAACAGTGTCCACAGAGCGGCAACTATCTCATCTCAGTAATATTAGGCAGGCAGACTCCTCTGGATGACTCTAGCTATGAACACCCTTTCTTATGCTGGGGCCAATGGGCTCATTACTTTGCCTACCCAGGTCTTTGCCAGAGCTGTGAGGACCTTATCACTGATCTCCCAGTGGAAAAGGCCCACTTGGGACCAGTCCATTACTCACCACCTCATGCTGATTTTTATAACACCATGTATGCAACTGGCAGAGCTGGTTATTCTTTCCATTGGCCGACTGGCCATCACACATGAGAGATGAGGAGGCAAAACTGATGAGATGACAGTAGCTGGAGGAGACGAGGAGGAGTGGGATGCGTAGAAAACAAGGATGGGGGGAAGGGAAGCAGCAAAGGAAGGTAGGATGGAAAGGAGTGGGGGTGAGAGGTGGAAAGAGATGAAGGGGGATGGGAAAGAAGTCAAGGGCAAAAATAGTGGGAGAGAGATGGAGATACAGAAGGTGCCAGAGATGGAGGCAGAGGGAGGCTTAAGGGGTAACAAGGAGGTTTGGGAGGACAGGGGAATCAGAGAGAAAGTGGTGAAGAACTGAGAGAGAGGACTTGGGGGTGAAGGGAAAATATGGTAGTGTAAGGAGCTGGGGGGTGACCCACCTTTAATTTCAGGCATCAGGTCCTGGCTGTGGTTCCTGAAGACCTCCTGCCTGTCACAGGCCATCTTGTTGGGAACAGGTGTGTGGGGGGTGGATATGGGCTCCTGGCCCATCCTGCTCTCCTAGCTCTGGCAGTGTGTGTGATCTGTGCTCCTGCTTTCTGTTTTTCAGCCCCTGCTGAGGAGAGGGGAGGCTGTCCCCGACTGAGCCCCTGGGCTCTTCTGATACTTGCCTTCATCCTCAAAGCCTGTGTCACGTGTGGCTGCCTTGGTGGGTGCTGGAGGCTATTCATTCCCCTGCTTTGGGAGGTGGGGAGGGGTGGGGGGAGGCAAAGGGGAGGGGGGAGAATTAAATGCATGGGAGAGATTTTATCACTGTTCAGGGAAGGGAAGAGGAGAGATTGTTCCTGAGGATCAGTTCTGCTGCTCTTCCATCCCTCCTCCTACAAAGCTGTACGGGGCTCTGGGCTAAGGTTGAGGCTGTGAGAAAAAGCATTCTTCTGTCTGGCCATGGGGCTCATTGCTGTAGGGGTCACTCATGCTTATGAGTGACTGGTGCCTCCTGAATCTGGGAGGGCACCCGCAGAAGCTGCCAACAGCAGTGGCCTTATCAGGGGGGCACCAGCCCTACTGACAGCACCAGTGTTGGCTATCAGGGAGGTACCGCCCCCATTGGGGGGACACGTGCACCCCCATGTACCCCCTACCAGTCAGTCACCTATACTCATGCTGGTGCTGTGCACAGGCAGGGGCTGGAGCATTCAGGACAAAGTAAAGGCTCCATATGAGACACACAGACATGAAAGATAACTGCCTTCCCATTGGATGTCTTGGCCTATGCCTGGCAGGCTGAAGGAAACACCAAGCTGTTCCAGTCCAGTGACCAGCCTCAGAGGGAAAACATCGTTTTTTCAACCGTCAGCTCTCCAGGTGGCCTTCATCTGAGTAACATGAGGCCCAGATCAGTTTGTGAGCGTTCATTCAATCTCTCCTGCTATAAATCACCCTGCCAGATGTAGTAGAACTTAGGAGGCCTAAGGCTGTTCGATAATGATATATTTGACTCAGATAGTTCCTGCTTTCATTCACTTGACTAGGCATAAGACAAGGCAAGAAAAAAGCATAGGAAATGGGAAGAGGTAAGGAAATGTTATTGGCTAGGAGACTGAAATGCAGGGAAAAGGTGGACGTAGGATGAAAGCAGGCTGCCACTGCAGGCTGGGGCCAGTGGTGGCACCAGGCTGACTATTCCCAGTGCTCAGGGCGGGCGCACCGAGTGCTGGGAACAGCCCAGTGCCACCATCAGTCCCAGCCTGCCCATCCGGGGGCACTGAGCTGTTCCCGGCACTCGGCGCACCCGCCCCAAGCACCGGGAAGAATCAGCCTGGTGCCACTGCTGGCCCTAGCCTGCAGTGGCAGCCTGATGTCATCCCGCACACAGATCTGGGGCGCGCGCCCCGCAGGAAGAGCCCAATACAGCCCCCTAGCATACAGCCCTCCTGGGGTCGCAGAACAGCAAGAGATGTGCCCGCCCCCCCGTGCACCCACTGATAGTTCTTGTTGCAGCTGGCGCTGGTCACTTCTGGGGCCGCTGCGGTGGGGGCTAGGATGAGTATGGAAAAGCTGCGCCACGTCCCGTGATGCCTGGGGCTCTGCTTGCTGCCACTCCACCCAGGCCCTGCTGCAGCAGTCCCAGGAGCAGCCGACATCAGCTGCCTGCACCTTTTTCTCACCAGGTCCAATTTTAACATCTTTCTCTTTTTGTATAGCAGTAAGGAAAACAAGGGACTAATAATGACCTATTTTATTTTCCCACTAATCCTATTTTTTTCACATGCTGTTTACACTGAATGTTGTGTTTACATTGAAAACAATGGAAATTATACTATTTTTTCTTTTCTAGTACATAAGTAAAAAAAGGAAAACTTTAACTGATATTCTGAGGTTTGCATGTCTTTGATATAACATTTTGTCTCCCAGGTGATTTGGAAATTAGATGAAATTTTCTCATGGACTTCATAGTTGCTTACTGAAGTTGAAGTGCAGACTTTCGTTGTCTCATATTTTTTATCTGTTTCTGAAGCAGAAAAGTCTTTGCAACTAATAATTGCTGTTCCTCTTATGGTGTGCTGTGCGTCTTGGTATTCTGTGGTGACTGTTTAGGGTTTTTGGTTTTTCTTATTAAATCTCTGCACACTACAATAACACTTTCTAGGTTCCTATTTACCCGTGGAGTTTCCAGGCAGGAAGTAGGGCATGCCCCCTTTGAACTAAGCCAGCTGGAAGATCCCTGCCATGGACTGAAGTCCTGGGGATATGATTCCTGTTGGGGATAATATATCTCCTCTTGGATTATGCTAAAAAGTATGTGGCACATAAAGGAAGTGGGGTAACTTTTGCCTACTTTCCAACAGCAAATCCAAGACCTAAAAAAAAGCTGAAGATGAAAACTTCAAAAGGACAGTTAAAAAACTGACACAACCAATAATGTCCTTGCAGCATAGTCTGAAGGGAAGTGAGGCTGCTCAAAAGGAAGTACAGTAGCTAACTCAAGAAAATGTGACATTTGTTGAATATTTGCCTCAGGTAAATCCAGTAATTATGAAGTTTATCAGGCATATTGATACATTGTGGAATTTCACAACTGGTGTTTGGTGATGCCCAAACTGGCAGGCAACCAGTGGCATCTTCCTGACACTCCTGGTGCCTCTGTTTCCCAGGAGTGAGAGAGAGAATTTTCTTTGTTCTCTCCAGAGGAGCCCAACCTCTTTAGAGAGGAGACTTACTGGGAGACTTTCTACCAAGAGAGACGCAGGTTCACCTAATCCTGCTTCCAGATAGGTTTTCTGAATTGAAATGGAACTGTTCTTGGCTTGAAGGCACAAAAGAAATTGGGTTGCTCATGGGAGAGGGGAAGCAAGTGGAAAGAGGAAAGAAATATTGTATCTGTACCCTTTTTCTGTTTTTTTCTTTCTCAGTCGCTCTCCTCAAGGGACATCAAAGTTGTGGAGAGCACGGGGTCCTGCCTCAAGATCTCAAAGAAGGGATCTGTGTCTTGGAGAGACATGAGAACAAAGGTCAGAGAAGCTCTAAAAGAGAACAGAGAATTAACCCTAGAGTCAGACTTCAGGACTGACCCACACCCACCTTGGGTCTGGCAGCAAGCAGCTTTGGGGGCTGGAGAACAGAGTGGGCAGAGGCAGAGGGATTGAGGGGAACCTGAGCATTTCAAACTGGGGAGAAAGAAACATTACCTGACACCAAGGCCTGTAAAACTGTGGACAAGTCAGCCCAGAGAAAGGGGTAGAACCACATGTACTGAGTTCCTTTGAGTTTCTCTAGACAAGGAGTTATGTACGTGTGGTGATAGCATGTTAGCTGACAGGTGCTAGTCTGCACCAGTCATGGAGCATGTGAGAGGACAGCGTCTAGCAGGACATCCTACGTTCTATTCTATATGCAGATTTAGAGTAAATCTAAATGCTACAGAATAAATGATAGGGAAGAGCCAAGCATGGTCCAGGCAGAATGAAGAAGAGTCAGTCCAGCAGAGGTTTCCCACCTTTAATTGAGTGCCTTTGATTTTATCTAGGGGAAGATTTAAAGGCACGTAGCTAGAAACTGTTGGGCATGCTTACACGTGCAGTTAATTTGAATGAATGTATTCCAGCTCAGTTTGAACCAGAGTAAACTAATCCCCACGTCACTATCTACATGTGCATTTAAGCGCAGTAATTTACTGCACTGCTAGATACCAGTTGTATCTTATGGAACTATCCAGCTATGCAATAAATTAATCTACTGAGCCCTAATTGCCACACACGTGTAGACGGTGACACTTCACTGTGCAACAAATTAGTCTGCTGCGCAGTAAAGTGTCTTTTGTAGATGTGCCCACTATGTAAAGATGTTAGTCTACACTGGCATTACTGAACTAGCTAGAGGACAAAATCAATCAAGACAGCTCATACTCTCATCTAGACAAAAGCTTAGTGGCAGGACAGATCCAAAAACCACAGGGAACAACTCAGCGTTGTTCAGTATGGAAGGAAAAGAGGCAGCATCAGCAGTGGTACCCCAACTGTACTCATGAACACTCATGCTTTTTGGCTTCTCTCCCCTCCCAGAGCAGGTCTGGATGTGCTGCCCCATTGGCTGGAAGCTCTTTCACACCAGCTGCTACTACTTGTCCAACAATATCATGACCTGGGCTGAAAGTAAGACGAACTGCACAGGGATGGGCTCCCACTTGGTAGTGATCAGCACAAAGGCTGAGCAGGTAACTTGCAGGAGATGGGATCCACTGGGAGTTCAGAGCCAGCCCTGGGTGGGACCTCCCTGCACATAGACCTGTTCTAGAACTGGAGTGAGGAGTTCTGTCTCCATCTTCATTCAAGGCTTGGTTTTCTCTGCCACACACATCCTGCGGGGATGCCTGCCTCTTGCTGTCTACTCATCATCTGCAACTGGTGAGCTTAGATGTTTTTTTTCTATCCAGGAATTCCTGTTCAACTGGATAAAAGGAGCTGTTGCAGGCAGCCAAGAAAAGAATCACTACATTGGTCTATCTGCCCAGGAGATGGAAGGCCAGTGGCATTGGGTGGATCAGACCCTGTATAACCAGACTACTACGTAAGTATCTCCTGGGAGAGACAATATGACCCTTGTCCCCTTCCCTTAGTTCCAACAAAATAACAAATAATATGTGCTGCAATACCTGTGTGCACGTGAGAGAAAGAGAGAGAGAAACCATATCCCCCCACCCCTCCTGAATGTAGTGTTCCAGCAAAAATGTTTAGTCCCAGGGAACCACACTCAAAGGCATTTAGTTCATTTCAGGGGGCAGCACAGAGAGGGTAGGGGGACCTCTCTGGGGGCCTTGTTACACGTTAATTTTAGGCGACTCTTAAATATCTTAACACCTGGATTGTCTTCACTTTAACACCTTTAAGTGTCTGAAAGCATTTGTTATGTGGCTCAAAATTATGCTACTCCAGGGCAGGATTATCCTTTGAGCCACATAACCCAGTTCCTGTTCCACATAAACCAGTCACTCCACACAGATATGCCACTCAAGTTGAAGGCATGAGGAAGGTGAACACTAAGCTGATTAACATTTGTGAGGCTCACAGCGAAACAACATATAAGGCGGCCCTGGATGATTCATATGCTGCAATTCTCCCCACTCCTCCTCTTTAACCAGCTCATTTCCACTGGGAGCATCCTAACAGTTCAATTCTGACACGGGGGGTTCTTTCTCTAACAGGTTCTGGAGACCTGGGGAACCCAACAACCCTGAAGTGGAGAAATGCGCTGTCATGTATGTAGGGGGCCAGGAAGACGACCCATGGAGCAAAAACTGGAATAACATCCCCTGTGAAACAGACTCTTATCGTATTTGTGAAGTTGCAGCAACACGTATTTGATGAGAGACACCCCCTGCTATGCAGGATGACAGTCCAGAGAGTACCTGCTCCTTAGTAGTGGCAGCTCCCAGGGAAATCTGGTAGGAGGGGTCAGATGAGCCCTGGCCCAGGACTGAATATATATTGAAGGGTCAGGTTAGAGGGCATTACCATGCCACGTGGTCTGAATTCACTAATAAAAGTGTCAGTAGCTGATATGTGTAAATAGTAATCTATGAAATGGAGAAGCTCAGTTCCAACAGAGCTTGGCTGGTGCTGTCACAAAAGCTTCTCAGAGCATCATCTCAGGAGGGCAGTGAAAAAGGTGGGTAGGGAGGAGAGGCCAGGAGCATTTGCCATGGAATGGGTGAAAGAGAAGATGCTGTTTGCTGTGTGAATGCAGCTGGTGCTGCCAAACTCCACAGGTTTCCTTGGAAGATCATAGGTTCATAGAAAAGTAGAGCTGAAAGAGACCTCAGAAGGTCATCTAGTTCACCCCCTGCTTAATGCAGGATCATAACTAACAAAACCATCCCAGCGAAGTGCCTAACCTGCTCTTGAAAATTTCCAAAGATGGAGATTCCACAACTGCTCTAGGTAGCCTGTTCCCATGCCCTCGGAGTCAAAGTTTCTGTTAATCTCCAACCTAAATTTCTTTTGCTGAAACTTGAGGGCATTGCTCCCAGTACTATCCCTTATGGCCACAAGAAAAGGCCATCTCCAGACTCTCTATAATCGTCCTTCAGATATTTAAAAACTGTTATTAAATCCCCCTTCAGTCTTCTCTTCTCCAAGCTAAATATACCTAGCTCTTTCAACCTTTCATCATAAGTCACGCGTCCTGGGCCTCTCATCATTTTTGTTGCTCTGCATTGGACTCTTTCCAATCTGTCCATGTCCTTCTTGAAGTGTGGGATGCAAAACTGGACTGAGTACTCCAGGTGAGGCCTCACCAATGCTGAATAGAGTAGAAGAATCATTTGCCTTGATTTAAAAATGACACTCCTGTTGATCCAACCCAGTATAGTCTTGCTCTTTTTTTTGCAAACAGAGTACATTATTGGCTTATATTCAGCTTATAGTCTTCTGTAACCCCCAGATCCTTCTCTACAGCACTGCAGCCTAGCCAGTCATTTCCCAGTCCCCAGAGATGCTCTGTTGGGACTGTGTGTGATCCTTTGGGGTATCTGTGCAGTAAATGGGAGTGTCCACTATCTGAGACAACCATACTGTGAATGTGAACCCCAACACAGTTTAATTCTAGTGCAGAGAGCACACAGGCAGTACACTACAGGATAATTACAGATGTTAATTGCTATTGGTGGAAAATGTGAAACTGAATGTGTAGAAGACCCAGGACAAGTGCATGACCCCTTATTGATATTGGCCACTTCAACTAAATCCTGGCCAGGAAGGAAAGGAGCTGGGCCTGGTGTGAGATACAAACACCCTGCTCTGTTGGGTACAGAATGAAGAAAGACTTTCTGCCTATACACTGAAGCTTTCAGAGATGGGAAGGATCTGCTGGGCCCAGCCATGCCCAGGACCAGTGCTGGGTTGGTCTCTGCAGGGTGTTTTCCAATCCTGTGTCTCATCCTGTGTTTGCATGACATGAATTGCCACCCCTTCCTGGGAAGAGACATAAAAACCGAGCAGCCAACCCTGCCTTGCAAAGCCAGAGATCCCAGTGTATTGGTGAAACTTCACCCAGGTTTCCTCATCCAGGTACTGGGTTGGATTGAGCCTTTGTCCCCAGGCCCCCAGACTCACAGTGGGAAGCAAAGCTGTCATTCACTCTCACAGTCTTCAGGCCTGGATAGAGTCATAGAAAATTAGGGCTGAAAGAGACCTCAGGAGGTCATCTAGTTCAACTCCCTGGTCAAAGCAGTACCACCTCCAACTAAATCATCCCAGCCAAGGGATGACCTTGTCTAGCCAGGTCTTAAAAAACTCCAAGGATGGAGATTCCACCACCTCTCTGGGTAACCTGTTCCAGTGTTTTACTACCCTCCTAGTGAGAAAATTCTTCCTGATATCTAACCGGAACTTCTCTTGCTTCAACTTGAGACCTCTGCTCCTTGTCCTGTCATCTGCCACCACTGAGAACAGTCTAACTCCATCCCCTTTCAAACCCCCTTCAGGTAGCTGAAGGCTGCTATTAAATCTCCTCTCAGTCTTCTCTTCTCCAGACTAAATAAACCCAGTGCCCTCAGCCTGTCTTCAGAAGTCATGTGCCCCAGCCCCAAACCATTTTTGTTGCCCTCTCCTGGACTCGCTCCAACTTGTCCACATCCTTTCTGTAGTGGGGGGCCCAAAACTGGACACAGTACTCCAGATGTGGCCTCACCGGTACTGATTGGAAGGGAATAATCACTTCCCTTGACCTGCTGGCAACACTCCTACCAATGCAGCCCAGTATGCCATTAGCCCTCTTCCCAACAAGAACACACTGTTGGCCCATATTCAGCTTATTGTCCACTGTAACCCCCATGTCCTTTTATATAGAGCTGATGCCCAGCCTGTCAGCCCCTGATAGCTCTGCTAGTGCCCCTCCCTCCTGGCCTGCATTCCCCTGTTCCATAGCATTTCAGTGTGATGGGCTCCTCTATAGGAAGAGGGTGTGGTTGGAGAAAGCCTCAATTATAATGCAGAAAATAGTGTCAATGAATAGGTGGTGCTATTGCTGAGCAGGCTCCAGAAGACTTTGGCAGGTTTAATAAATGGTATGATACAGAACAGGCCAATGCCTTAGGCCATGTGTAGATGAAACAAGGGGCATGTGTGCACAACACTTTAAAGTGGGCTAAATGCTTTGTACCGCTTTAATGGTCTCGGTGTGTGCACACCTTGGCAGCATATTGTGCATTAATGACAGTCTCTAGCAAATTCGGTGGCGTAATGCACCTTAAATGACTTAGGGCGCAGCAAACTAAAACTCCTCCCTACTGCCCTACCAACCACGGATCGAAGCACCAGGCTCCATGCAGCTCAGGGGCTCTTCAGGAAGCCCTGCAGGCAGCCTGGCAGCAGCCCAGGAAGGAAGGCTCTGCCTAAGAAGGGAAAAAAAAGCAGCGAGCCTGATTTTTTTTTTTCCTCTGGAGCCTGCCTGCTTGCCTGAGCTGCATGGGGGCCCAGTGCTTCCCTCCACAGCAGCAGTTCCCCTTGGGACCTCTCGAGCTGAGTGCCTGTGGGTAGGTGTCGCCTGGGGGGACCCGCTGCTGCCATGAAGGGAAGCACCAGCCCCACCCCGCCGCTGCCCAAGGACCGCTCCTCCTGCCAGCAGCTCGCCCTCCCCTCCCCACCACTGGAGAGCCCAGTAAGCCGGTTGTGTACATGACACAGGGGTTTAATTGGCCCTAAATTGAAGCGGTGTTTTTAAAACCCCACCACTTCAACTTAGGGCTCCCGTTTCATTTACACACGCCCTTGGTCATGTGTTTAAATGCAAAGTTGGTCCTGGGCTATGAATCAGTTGAGCAGGTTCCTCACCACTCGGTACTAAGCACACAGACCTGCCTAGTGTTATTGGAGTTTTTACCCCTGGGAGAGAGGGATCTCAGGGCCCCCCGCACCCTTACTCTTCCCTGTCTCTATAGCAAGTTGTCCCCTGTAGTGCCTCTTGCAAGACTTGTCTTTAGTTGCTTTTTGGGACAGGGCCCACATATAACTTGATTGTACTGTGAGACACTTCATGATACTCTGGAAACTAAAATACTAACCATGCTGGGTCTATTCCTATCCTTGGGGTGGCCTAGGAAGCCCAGATCCATCCTCTTCAACTCCCATGGATCCCAAAGGGGTAAGACATGTAGACTCCTCATGACTCCATTCTTCTTCTCTCATTGCAAGTGCTGGTGTCCAGATCCCAGCATGGATAGCCTCCTGGTTGCAGGACAGTTGCTAGGGCCCTGACTGACACCCAGATGTGGAGGTACCATGGTAGCCATGGCAGGGGGAATCTTTTTGTCACCTAGGCTTGTGCAGGAGCCTTGGGCACCTGTCCCTGTCCCTGTGCCATAAAGAAGCCACGATGGCCTTCCCACCCAGGAGCTCCAAAAAGACCCATGTATGGGTGCAGCCAGATTGAGAGTGTGAGTAGAGCCCTCCACTTAGGATCAGGAGGGTGATGGGCACCAGCACGTGGCTTCCTGAGCACCATCCCGGCCTGAGGTGTACATCCAGGAAGTCCTAGAGGAGGAGGCATTAAACATCTCTTTCTCCTCCTCCACCCTGGTCTGTCACTACAACCCCTTCCCTTTCTCTGCCCTGCCCTGCTCCCTCAAATTAGTGCTCTCCCTGCCCTGCCTTACACTGCCCCACTCTATCACTTCTTCCTCTCCCTCCCCTCTGCTGCTGAGGTTTTTCCATCAGCCCCCCTCAGGCTCCTGTGTTTTCCATGGCACAAAACTTTAGCCCCAGTCAGGGTGGCCCCCCTCCTGCCATGGCCTTAACATAATCTTCCATTTTCCAACTGCCTCCACATGTCACACAACACCACTCCCTGTCCCCAGCCCTATTACTATCATGAGGCTACCTTATACCTCTGGCTGTGAGAAACACACTGTGGCCAGGGACCCTTGAGGTCTGGCTCCCTACCTCACTCATATCATCACCATCATTGCTACTCTTGACTTCTGGGAGGAGGCCACCCTGCTGCTGACACTGGAGTGCCCTTAATCCTGGCTCCAGCCCAAGATCAACTTGATCACCAGTTCTCAGCATGGCCTGTAGAGAAAGGATGCTCTGTCACTGTAGGTGTCACAAACGCTGCTGCTGGGAAGACCCAAGAACTGCTTCAGAGAGGATATCCTTATTGGTTCCCCAGATAGCCCTGCTGAGAGCGTGCTGGGAGCTCTGCCTTGACTTCATCTGCAGAACACAAAGGCCTAGATCCAGCCAGGAGCTAAGAGGACTGGCAGAGCCCTGTTCACCCTGCAGAGAGAGAAGCTCTGCTGCTGCTGCTGCTGCTGCTGCTGCTGCTGCTGCTGCTGTGGGGAGAGCTTGGCTTGACTGTGAACAGAACAGCCATGCCTGGGTTGCTATTTAGTTCTGCAGGGAAGGACACCTGACTGCTGCTACCACTATCAGTCCCATCCCAGCCCTGAAATGCCAGAATCTCCTGGGTTGTGAAGAGCACTGCAGAGAAGGGGGCTGGGTGCTTCATTGCGTCTGC